TTATAGTAGGCAATTTTGCAAGATTTCCCAGAAGAATTATAATGATAGGTGTACACATTGCCTCTATCACTAGATTAAAATCCGTCTTCTTGATCTTTATACATAACTAAGGACTCTCAAACCAAGATCAAGGTGCAGAGAAACATCTTGATGATACATTTTGTTAATGTGTTAATGAACTTGCTTGCTTAATGTCATAGAAAAAGTCATATAAGCCTCCAGACAAAACCTTTTACCTGAACCTGTATACTTCTCAATGCTTTTCAAAGATTGAAACTTAAATTAAAATATGAAAAGAAGAGGTGGGTAGATAGGGATTCTTGGTAGCTGTTCATCTGCTAATTGGGATGATTTTAAAAATCCTTATTAAAACTACTAATGCATTTTGAAGCACGTAAGGCTTTTGTCCTTTTTTTCTAATTTTGAATTTTTGTCTTTATCTGCACAACTACTTATCTGCTAATTTGAGAGCTACTCTAGCTTGTGCCATTCATCACAAGAACATCTCAGAGGGCCTTGGAAATGTTTCAAGTTTTAACAATCAGAGACTTAACCTGTTTTTTCTCATATAAGTTACCTGCCTAGACACACTAGGAAGACAAACGCTGAATAACAGAAGTTGAATAATAATAGTAATGAAGAATTTTGCATGAGAAATAAAACCAGGTAAAATCAGGTCTTTTGTTGTAGATTGCTGAGATACCTTACCAGTGTAAGGAAAAGAGTGTTGACATTTGTCAGGCTATCCTCCATAAATTAGAATTACTGTACAGGGGAAGCCTTGGCTGCTGTAGCTATCCCTGCAACATTAGCTATTTTATTACAATTTTTTTTTCTTTGAAATACATGGGGCTATTTGGGGGTACATTTTTGTGCTTTAAGTCTCATATTTTCTTACTTGATCTTTATGTTCTAATATCATAATTCTCATTCTTAACTTAATCACATGTTATGACATGTCAATTAAAAAGAAAAACCAGGGGAAAAACGAAGAGTTTCTTTGATTGTGTCATGTGTTGTGTTTGGAGTTTTTTAAAATGAATTTGTTTCAGAATTCTTCATAATGTTAAACAGTAGACAACCTAGGAAACTAAAGCATCAGTACATCTTTTCTCAGACTATTTTGATAGTATGCTTTATCCCTGATGTGGAGAAGCCACCTCTGTATGTGAGAGGATGGTTCATTTTCCATAGCTCATTTAGACTTTGTCCTTCTTGCCAGGACTACCCTCAAGATTGCTAATTGTAGTAATAGGTTTGTGACATGGGTACTTCTCCTCTGAAAACTGGTCAAATTCATTTGATACAGGCCATAAATCGGCCATTAGTGGGTATCAAGTTTCAGCTACCATCACTTTCACCTAAATAGTAGCTGAACAGTGCAGTAGTGTTTTTCTCTTGCACCCTATTTCATTTTTCATGTTCTTCTTGTAGACCAAAAGAGCTCCCAACTGTTTTATATTTCCATTGGGTCTCAGACCCTTTTCTGCTGAAATTCAGTTGCCTATTTTGACTTGTTAGAAACTAAACCTGCATGACTTAAATAAGCCAGTACAAAATAGTGTCAAGTGGGCTTTACACAGCCTTAAGCGTGTTAGTTTGTTAGTTTGTTTGGGATTTTTTTTAAAAGAAAAGCACTGAAATTGTGGCTTGAACAGAAATAAAGCCCATTTCTCAAATGTACAGTGTAATTTCAGTTTTTAGTACTGTAGCATCTTCCCTCAAAAGAAAGGCATAAAAGTAATGTTGCTTCAAAACTTACTTTGCTGGAAGAAATGTGACTTCAGAGAAAAATGTGGCTTAGGTAAACTAATTTATTATGCTTGTAAAGGAGCAAGAGGAAAGGGAACAAGTAGGCTTGCATTTTCTTGATGCTGGCACTCAACACAATACTGGCAATTTAGGAGACTTTTTGTGGTGTGGTATTTTTATACTTACTTCTACTTTTTAAAAGGAAATTTCATAAAAACTGAGATTTTCAGATTTCCATTGCTACCATCTTTCTGGATTTCCTGACAGTAATTTTTTTTTTTTTTTTAATGGAAATGCAATCAGCATTCTTCATGGTGCCTTCAGTATTTCTTTCAGGTCTGACCACTAAGTCCGAGAGTCACATCCTCAGTAATCCATGAAAAAATTACGGTTCCTCACCCCCTTACTACATATAGATACATGCATTTAGCTGCCTTTTTCGGGATTGTTTTGTAATATCAGTGTATTTTTCTGTACTTTGCAGTCAGGAATTGCATTTGGATTACAAAATTACTTTTTTGCTAGTTGATGGTATTTACATAAGTCCTAAGGCTGATTCACTGTTTTTGTTAGCACTAGAACTCAGAATAGCTGATTCAGAACCAGGCTGATTCTGACATCAGTGTTAATGACAGAATTGTGCCAACTCTGAGCAGAATTGATTCCGATTCCCAGATATGCAGGGATGTATCTGCTTTCCAGGTGCAGGTGCAGATGTTTGAAGGCAGCTCCTGCAAATCTATGGAAGCAGGTAACAGTGCAGATAGGGGAGCCCTGAGTAAGCTGCTGGAACTGTTGTGGAGGTTGCAGCCAGTACTGCATTTCACATCTCTGGCTGCGCCTCCTTTACCAGTCACGCTTGCACTTAGGTAAAGATAGCATGCATAAATACATACAGCCTGTACTTCCATCTCTGCCACCAGTGTGCATGCATCCTGAGTCAGAGCAGGATCAGTCCCACTAGCGTTTATTGTTTTTACAAGTAATGTTTGGTTTACATGGTGATTTCCCTGCAGAAATAAAGATTTTCCTGTACTTTTGGAAAATACATGGCAAAGTTCATTTTGAATTGGTAAATTTTTCATTGGCCTTTGCATAATTATGATGTCTTCATGAATGCAGCTGTACTGAAGCTAGAGACCAAAAGCAGCCCGTGTAGTAGGTCAGAAAAAGGGAGAAAGAGTGGTGCCCTTACTCTCTCCTTTTAGCAATATGGATGCCAGCCATGTTGCACCACTGCTCATGCTCCTGGAAACTCATCAATTCATACTTTGCTCAGCACTTTGGTTTATGAGCTTTTACCTCTTGACACAAACTCCTCTGTGCCTATAGTAGGTGTGCACAAAAAATACTGTGTTTCAGGTGCCCAGCAGAAAGTTGACAATAATGTGAGGGAGGGTGGTTAGGTTTGGTTTTGGTTTTTTTGCAATAGGAGGCACCCGTGCTTCCTTCCCAACTGCATGTGTGAAGGATAGTAAACATATGGGTTAAAAAAAATCATAATTCAAATATCTATACTGGTACTGATCAGATCTCTGTTTCTGTAGCAATGAGAACCAAAGGTGGCCTTTTAAGGCTCACAGTTCTTCTACCAATTTCCAGTTCTGCTTCAGGCTTCTTAAAGTATTAGAGTGCGTGCTTTAAACCCACAAAACTTACCTTTACCTAATTTTCACCATTCTAACCTAAGTTTCCACGGAAACAGGGTTGAAAAAGCCGCTGGTAGCCAGCAGGCAGCCAGCAGCTGAGAGTGAGAACTCTCCTTTGTCACTTTCCACTACTGGATGCCTGCTGCGTGCCAGTGTGCAAAGCTACCTAGGCTTCTAAAATCTGGATTACTTTCAATTTGAGGGGGAAAAATTAAATTAATCTACTCTTTTCTGTCTTTGGATTGTCACAGTAAATTCCAGGAGGGCAAATGGGCTAATGAGTCCTGATCTGTTCGGTTACATTGAGCCCCACACAGTCAAAGCTTTGCCAACCAACTGGGCCTCTCCTTTCATAATTTCCGTGTTTTAAAAGCATTCTGTCTCAAATTTTGTGGCTGTGGACATGTACATGCATATTTTGGTACCTTAATTCTTTATGGCCCTGTGTCTATTTATCTACATAATTATGAGCCTTTTTTGCATACAGCATAGTAAATGTACAAAATTCCCTTTCTTGTATACTTAGGGAACATTTCTGAATGAACACGTTACAAACTGATCCTCGGTTAAATATTAGGAGTAGGATGTGAATGGAGATGGCTTTTAACCAGAAGTAGATTATAGCTGCGGGAAGACTAAAGGGTCTATTTGGTCAAGACTCATACAAAACTGAGATAAGCATGCACAACCTGACAAGATCAGATTAGACCCTTCCCCCACAAATGCTCTTCCCATAAATATTTATCTACTTTCTATTATAAATAACCAGGAAATGAAAAAGGAAATATTCCCTTTTTTTAAAATAGCCTAGAAATAGAATTGCAGCTTCAAATGTTTGGGGTAATGATATTTAAAGTATGCAGTAAATTCCAATACTAGTTGCTATATTTTAGATGGGAGTAAAGTACTGAAATTCCTTATGGCAGCTACATAAATCGACAGCTTTTATAAACAAAGAAGAACTTTGTACATATGTGAATTTTTGCCTACCTCTGGGTATCTTGGAATTAAATAGTTTATCACCTGTGAGAGAATAGGTGTTGACAGAGTCAGCACTGCTGTATTTTTGAGCTTGCTGGAGGCAACATTACTGGCATTGAAGTTAAGCTTGGCATTTTTTCACCCCATCTCTCCTCCCTCCAGCCCAAGTGAATGCTCACTTCATCAATGAGAAACAAACTGAATTGCCTGCCAGTTGTAACAGAGATCCATGAAATCAAATCTATTCTGCAGATTTGTTGGTGATTCAGGTTGTCGGTCCTTTGACTTCACTTCTTTATGTAGTAATGTTAAGGGGTAGAAAACTGAAGCTGTGCATGTGCCACTAATTCAGAAATGCATATTTGTTGGTGATCCACTCATCAGAATCTGAGTGGATTGCCTTCTGCTGTAATGAAAAATAGCTCTTTAGCTTTGAGATTTATATCCTTAAAAATGTACAGAATAAGATTTTTGCATTCATCTTTGAAAGTAACAAGTTTGCACTTTTTTAAACACTTCTGTTTCATATAAGAATAATATTAATACTTTAAAAATCTCAAGATGAAAAATGTAAGTCCTTTTTTCTTTTTTCTTTTTTTAATCTTTTTTTTCCTCTAGCATTTTACGATGGGATAATGAGACAGATGTCTCTCAACTGGAAGGACATTTTGACATTGTTATGTGTGCTGACTGGTAAGTACATAAAAATCATAAAACTCACGTTAGAAAAATAGCTTTGCTGGAGTAATTGTACTGTGCTGCTTGCTGATGGCTAAGCAAAGTCAACAAATGAAGCACAAAGCCACCTTAACCTCAACAAATTAATATTCATCTCCATGTGACAGTTATAAGGTAGTCTTCTATCACACAGTAACTTCTACCACATTATTTCCCAAAGATTGATTTTGAGAAGCATTTCCATTTTCTGGAATTGCCTCTGTTTCATGCTTGACGTATCAGTAAATGGACGACTTAGGCAAATTGCAAATAATTATGGCTCAGTGAGGAACAGTCTGGAGAAAAGGGAGTTTATCAACACAAACAGCTCAATTAGCTTACTTCTTAGGAAAGATCTGACTATTGATATAAGGGGATATATTTTTTGCTCCCTGGAAAATCTTTCCAAGGAAAAAGAGATTTTCAAACCATTTTTTCCACCTCCACCATATTCTGTTCCTTAAATCTATTTGACATCAATATCTGAAGGTATAGGCTTTATATTATTTACACAGGCAGATGTTAATTATAAGATAATTTATGGTAAGAAAAATAAGAGTTCAGCACTTAATTTATGAAAAGGTAGATACATGTAGCAATATGGTATCTTGTTTAATAATTTATGCAAATAGATTTGATTATTGACACAACCCTTTTCTGATACTGCATTTGTGGGATTGTGCTGTGCTGTATTTGCTGCATGCTAGCTTTAAAAATGGTGCATTACTAATTATTTGTGTTATATAAATGTAGACAGTGTGAAAAAAATAAAGCTGTGCAATTTTTATTTAGGAGAATAGATATTTTTAAACCAATCTGTCTTTCCTTCATGGATATTTGCTCTTGACCCATTACATATCCAAACAAAAAAAAAAAAAAAGCTGTCTGTGTTTTGTGGCTCGTAACTATTGTGAGAGATGAAATTCTGAAAGCAGAGACTTCCTAGAACTGCTCAGTTCAGCAAATTTATGTACCTTACCTAGAAATAGTTAAAGGAAAAGGCAAGGGAAGTACAAAGCTGTCTATTGTTTTTTAAAACAATGTTCTTTTAAAATGTCTTCTATTCCTCTAAAGCTTTTGTTTTTCTTTCACATTATGCTATTAAAGCTAACTCTTCTATTTCACCAAGTTATTGGTTTTGTATAGCTCTGGAGAAAATGTGTTTAATGATCTTTTGCCTTTTTCTAACACCTATTTGTTCTCAGAATGCAACAGTGCTTTGTTTCCCTTAGCATTTAATTTCAGAAAAGTTCTTTGTTCCCAAAAAGGACAGAGGAGGGTTTCTAACTAATCGCTGATAATGTGCCTCAGAAATGCATCATCTGATTAAAATAAGGAGCTAAACAACACCATATGATTTCAGCAAGTAATTTAGTAAATGCCTTCCTCACCAAATATTAGAATGGATACTCCAGGTTTCATTGCACAGATGAAGTTAATGCTGGACAGGATTAGATCAGATTAAGTATGAAAGTCAGATCAGAGTGCTGGCGGACATGAGCAGGAGGGCAGCAGTCTTCTCGGAGGCTTAGACAAGGCTCACATATGGATGTTCTCCAGATTATGTGGGTGAAGCAAGGTCTTGCCAAGAGATTTAGAGTTAAATTTGTTCTTCACACAAATATCAAAACAACCTGGCTGTGCTGTCTCTTGTATTCTTGATACTCACACCATGTCATCCTATTTGTGCTGGGAGTACAACAGAGTGGAGCGAGACTTAAGTTGTTTTTTTCAGTAATATTCTGGCCTAATACCCCTCCCAGTCTGTTTGAAAGTAGTGTAGTTTCTTTAGGAAACAAAGAATCAGACATGACAGGTAAAATACATAATGCATTTGCAATCCCTACATTTTGTACATTTATTTTGAAGCACTTAAGATGCAGGTAAGTGTATAAATATTTATAGATTTCTAAAAAATAAATAGAAATGTGCAGGCTAGTTTAAGGAATTTGGATTTATTCACAAATTATTTCTGTTTTCTTATTTTAAGTGCTCACAGATATATGAGCATAGCATAGAGCTGAATAAACATGAAAATCCCTTTATTGTTTGTTTCTTTTAGAAATAATTCTTTTAGTTATGGACACTAGGTTTTATGGTATATGAAAAGGCTGAGGAAAGAAATGTTCCATGCTTTATCAAACTCAAATCTTCTTTTCATTTTCATGTATTTCTCTTCAGCGATATATAATCGGTTTGAGAACTGTTGGCAGGATTTTTGCTCTCTGAATTTTTTGGGCTGCCACTGAAGAGGAAAAAAGAAAATCTCTTTTCTTCTAGCTTCTCAGCTGAAACCTGACGTATGCAGTGATAAAAAACAGATAGAATAGATTTCATTTAGTTTAACACCATCATATAGCTCATTGTCAGTCAATAAAATCCGAGATTAGAACAGAGAACTAGAAAGCAAAAAATCTGAGTTCAAATATTAGGTACATGGATAAATTTTTATTGAAGTAGTTCCAGCAAGGGTGATATTGTCTGATTCTCTGAATAGCTAACCAGTGGTACTGCTTGATCCCATTTACATGAAAACAAGCTCTATTCATAAATATATTCCAAATCCACATGGAGATTCAAGTAAAAATGTACATGATTACAGCAAGCAGCGATATATTTATATTCATATATTTACAGTCAGACTTTCATAAACCTTGTGTGCAGGAGTGGAAAATAAGTTATTTCCCAGAACAAACAGTCTATTAGTTAACAGCTAAATTTAGTAGCTCAACTAGATTATAAAATAAATAAGAGGCAAACTATGAAAGCTAGTCATTATTTAACCATTTAGGATGTTGACAATAAAATAGTTTCATGGTTCAGCAGTTCCGAAATAATTTTTAAAATGTCAACTATTAGATAACAATAAGTAAAAAAATCAATATGAGACTACACTTGGAAAAAGGATACAGTAAGAAATAATACTGAAATAATGGAACCTTTAAAATATATTCACCCATCTCATATTTTTCAGGGGGCATTTTAAGGCCAAATGAGGGCTCTCAGAATTTTTGATTTTCATCTGACCTACACCTGTGGGATATAAAGCCAGGTGCTGGAACTGTGAGTTTGAATAGACAAGGAAAAATCACAGGTGCCTGGATGGACAGGCCAAACCCTAGACTCTCCCAAAGTTCTTGAGGGCCCCAGATTTTATAATTATTTAAATAGTGTACATACTCTTCTTTATTGAGGACAAAAGTTCTGAGATTTTTAGTCCAAAGAGAGAGTAAAGGCCAGTAGGACTGAGACAATAAAAAACTTTATCTTTCACATTATTGTGAAGCAAGTTTTCACAAATAATTTGATGTAGAGGCAAAATAAGTTTTAGAACCCCGTATTGTTTTGGAAATGCGTAATATCCTACTTTATTTACTTAGAATGATTCTATTCTTGAAGTTTGGCACATGCATAAGTATTCACATAACAGAGGCCAGGGGGAGCTATCCCACATTACTTTCACTGCTGAGATTTTTGCTGAAGTCACGGGGAGTTGTGGCCTTGCCAGGAATGTAGACCTGAACTTAAAGTATTCTTTAAATACCTTAAAATATGTCAATTTTGTCTCCATTAGTTTATTTGACGTATTATAAGGAGATCTTTTTGCAGGAATGCAGTAAGACCTCTGTCTTTCCATTTTAGGCCTGATTTCTGGCACACACTTTCAAGTGCATTGGAATCTGATGACACAGAAATAAGTCTTTTTAGTTTACATCACTCATGTAGTTGGAAGTGAACAAAAAAATAAATGGCTTTATGCATTAGGCACTACATATGAATGTAATAATATCTGAAGTACACCTGTAAACTCTTTTACCAATGGCAGAGCATGCAAAAAACCAAAAAGTTCACATCATAGCCTATAAAGCATATGTCTCTTGTTGTGAGGCAGAAGATAAAAGGATATTAGCATGTAGCAAACTAAGAATCTACCTTTTTTTTTAAATTTCTTTCCTTGTGGCTTACTGCTTCTCTGCAGTTTTGGTATAAACTTTCATTTTGGTTTTAATTGCAATTTAAAATTTTAATTAAAGAGTAAGAGAGTAGAGAAGTGACAATGCCACCTGCCTGTTCATCCAGATTTCACAGGTTAAGAGCATTGCCTAAACAAAGGCCAAATCATCAGCTGTGTTCTCACCTTTCTGTTGCTGTGATTTGAAACTTCCTTGCTGACCCAAGAAAACCTTGCTATTCCTGTCCTGAGCTACATAAACATGAAATATTACCGCTAAAGTAATGGCAGGCTTTAGCCAAATTTGAATTGAGGTGTGAGAACTGTGTGTGAGTGGTTTAGAACAATGCATTATTTAATTTTACTGAGCTGTTCACAGAATTGTTTAGGTTGGAAGGGACCTCTGGAGATCACCAAGTCTAACCTGCCTGCCAAGACAGGGTCACCTAGAGCAGGTGACACAGGAACTCACATGTTGTGAGCTTTGAAGGATGCTCTCAGGGACATTTTCAGTCTGCTGTGGTAATATTTAGTTATACAATTCTACTGGTAAGAAAAACTGCGTGACTTAATCCCCTTGCGTGGGCCAAATCCTGTGCTGTTCCTGTCTGCAGCACCGATTACCTAATGACTTCTTCAGGATTTTGCTCATTTAAGGCATCCCCTGACTCAGAGGGAGGATAGATATGTTCCCTGGAGTCATTGCATTGCGGTAGCTTTGCTTCCAGTCTTCTCTGCTCCTTCTGGTCAGAGTGCATGGCTCACAGAGCAACAGTTTGGAAACCACAGTATGAGAAACTATTTTCAATTGGAGCAAGTCATGTTCCCAGGAACAGGTCTCTTGGAGGGCAACTGTCTCAGGTTATCTGGCTTTTCTAAGCTAAGATGGATACCTTCTGTGCCACCAAAATATTTATTAGGTTGGACAGAAAAAACTAAGTTCTCAGACACTCAGCTTTTGGCAAACAAAGGTCTGTAGTTCTCATTGTAAAGGAACAAGATTGGTAGCAGCAATTGTGCCCCTATCTCATTGAAAAAAAAAAAAAAGAGAATGGTATTCAGGTCCATGTAAAGGGGATTTTAACACTGCTAAGCTGCCCCAAGATTATGTTTCCACTACACTGCAATAATAAAAATATTATAAATGCACTTTTCATTCAGAATGTGCTTCTGTTTACACAGGATCCCAGGAAGTCTTAAATGTGCATGCTTGCGATGTTTCATGTTGAAAAAATTAATTACTTTTCACTATTCTTTTGGGAGAAGAATCATCTATTCCACTGCTTCTGCAGGTGGTTAAGTTCCCAGTGAAGTAGTGTCTTACATCATCTATCTGTATAGGGATCAACATGAGGTGAATGTCATTAAAACACCCAAGAGACAGCAGAGATAAGAGATGCTTTTTCAACTAATTAAATTTAGGCACCCATGTTTTCAGTAAAGTTCTTCCGGGAAAATAAATCAAGGCTCAGGGTTTGTCATCGTGCCAATTGCTCAAGTTCAAATTTTCTTGTAAACCAGGCTATCAGGAAAATTGTTAGCTAGTAGTTAATATTCTTGAGAAAAAATTCAAATCATATTTCTGTATTAGATGTTCTTCAACATATATAGGTATGTTGAATGTTCTTCAAGATGTATAGCTATCCATTCTACTATATTTTCTCAACAGTGTGGGGTTCTGCCAGTTTTTACTAATGAAGTATGGTCACTTACAAGTTTTGTTTTGTTTGTTCCAGAGCAGCAAAGATTCACCACGATTCTTGCACGGCTGCTCGCCTCTATGGCATATGATACAGTATTCTCCTTGGTAGCTGTGGAGTGTCCTTACATTCACACATCTTCTGTTCTTGATAAAAGGCCTGTGGTTGGCAGACTACTTTTTTCACTTCAGTGTTTCCATTTATTCTTTATGTTCTTTCAGAATTTCAAAACTGGAAAAAAAAATTACCCACATCTCTTCAGAAAAGAAGTTTGAGGATAAAAGGAAGGGGAATATATTAAAAAACCCATAGAGAATGGACAAAATGCCATGTAGTATGAAACTTGAACTTGACACAAGCTGGAAAGCAGTTTTGTTACAGAGAAAATGTGGGGGGAAGGAAAAAAAAGAAGAAAAAAAATCACATTATCTGTGGCCTGCTTGATAGAGTTTCTTATCTGAATCACCAACATAAATGCAGCCCACGGTAGTAAGGACTGAAAGGCATCAGTTGCTATCAGATGGTTGTTCACTAACCATTGTAAATGCACTCATCCACAGTAACTACATGTCCACAAATATCTAGTCAAGAGTGATTGGCACCCTGGCTGCCACTATTAGTATATACATTAAGGTACTGAGGGGCATGAAGAATGAATTATCCCCTCAAATCATGAGGTAATCACACCAAAATAGGGCTGAGCGTGTTGGCAACATTGCATGGGAAAATTGACTCTGCTGCTATCCTTGCGGGACCCATGCTGGAGATGAAGGGTTGCACTCTTGAGAGATGACAACTCTGCACAATCTGGGCCATTGTGTTTCAACAGCATTGGAGAGAGGGAGGAGGTAGGGTCTTGTAAATCTTTACAAGGATAGCTAGAGATAGATAGAGAAATATAGCAAATATGTATCATAGGTAACAATTAATGCCAAATCTGTGAAGGTAGAAGGGGAAAAAATACCCTTAATAGTAACACCTGAAATACAATAGAAAACATTTTCAAAAACTCCATCCCCCTTGTATATACATGTGAAATGCTAGCTTTTTGGGTTGATCTTCATTTCTGATACAGTATTACTTTAATAGCTAGTATGTCTGATTGGTGAATTTCAGCTATATAAAGACTTATTTCATGCTGATAATTTAGGTTTTGTTTAGACTGCATTTCCTTTTATGTCTTTTTAAATGTTAAAAGTACCCTGAACTGCATAGAAATGTAGACCACAGTTTCTCGTTTACAGCATTGTGTAAACATATGTAATTAGCCTTGTACTTATCTGCATTAGTATCATTAGAATTGAAAACCCATTTTAATCTGGATTCTGTTCTCTTCTCAATGTCAGCCTGTTTCTGGACCAGTACAGAGCTAGCCTTGTTGATGCAATAAAGAGATTACTCCAGCCCAGTGTAAGTATGTTTCTATTTTCTCCTGAACACTGGCTTCAGAATAATTAGTCTGTGCACAATGATTGAGAGAGTAATGGAATGGCAGGATTAATGTCATGTAATACTTTAATACTTATTATGTCCAACTTCAATTGAGTCTTCTAATCTATCAGATTCTTTCCTAATCATAAACTAGGAAACTTCTTATACTTGGCCTTCTGATAAGGAACACAGTGGGTAGTAAAATAAATGAAACCGCTTCAAAGATAGCGTCAGATTATTTTTATCAAAGCGTTTCTCAAGTATTTTCCTTTGATAATAATGTCTTCATATTAAAGTAAAATACGATATTGAAAGTTTTTATGTTGGCTTCTGTCATTTTTAATCCCTTCAATTGTAACCTTTGTCATTGTGTATTTATTTGTTATGAAAGAATATTTTTTCCTTTTCATTTATGGTTATATAAAATGAGCAAATCGCTTACATGTATACTGTGGCTTAAAACATTTTTCCATTAAGTAATCCCTGTGTTTACATGTTTTATACCTTAGAAAATAATGAAATTATGTTCTTCATAAAATGATTACGCATTCTACATGAGTGTCACTCAAGAGATATTTTATCAATTTAAATCTATTGGGCTGTTTACCTCAGAGAGACTTGCAGGCTAGAAAAACTCTGTTCCATGCAAAAGGGAAGATATCCCAAGAAGAAAAGAAGAAAACATTAAGTAATTGCTCTAAGTAGGATTTTGAAACAGAAATTTTATCATTCATGTTTAACATCCAAATCTTCCAATAAGGTAAACTTCCAATTTGAAAACAAAACACTTCATACTAGCAGTGAATTTCCAAACTGTATTTAAAATTTGTAGTACTTTTGTACTTTTTGTACAAGAGATTTGCTCTGTAAAAGGAATAGAAGACCCAAACGTGCAAAGGCTTAAGAACCCGAGTCATTTTAGTTGTGTAAGTAATCCCATTCTTTGCTTAGAGTGATCAGGTTTCTATTCTTGGTTCTATCATAGACTTTCCTGAGTGACCTAAGGCAAGTTACTTAAGACTGAATTATTTTAATGAGCTGTGGGGCAAGGCTGCCAGGAAGACAGGAAAAATGTAGCCACCCTGAGGAGAAGGTTACCCAGATATATCTGTCAGTGGCAGTAAGAAGAGGTTAAGCAGCTCCTGCTCAGAGTGATGCATTCTGACTTTCATGAAGTACCAACAGTTGTCAAGCTGCAATAATTTTTGGGACCACAGGTCATCTGGAACACAAACCAGATCCCAGTTTAAAGCAATACCAAAAAAATTTTTTTCAGCCCAGATCAATGTCAGCAACTGGTTCTTCAGGTATTCCCATGTGCCATTCTACAGGCTCCATGAAAGGACGCTGGGGAAGAAAAGCAAGAGTGGGAGGAAGAGAAGTGTGTAAGAGGTGCCCTGGTAACTGTGGAATTGTTAGGCTGACTTTAAGCCAAACCTGGCCTGACTCTCAACTCCAATCAGCTAATTCAAATTCAAAGAATACATCTTTATATTTCAGAGCATATGAGCTACACTCCTTTGTGAATGTAGATGGGGTAAAGGGAGAAGGCTTTTTCTTGCCTGTCTTCCTAATTATGTTTGCTTCTGCACATTGTGATCTATAGCATAGTCAGTGTCAATAACCTAGGACTTACTTGCTGTACATTTTAGGCACAGCAAATAGTTCCTACTTCTTTTCAGCAAAACTAACTTAAGAAATTCATGCTCCATGCAGGAATTTCTGTTGCAGAGCTTTGGACCCCTATCCAAAGGGTATTTTTTAACTAAATTCAGTTGCGTAATCTACTTTATGAATGGCTGTATGGATGGATATCCAGTTATGGCATGGCCTTGCAAATTACTGCAATTTTTAACTAAGAGGACAGCAGACTAATGTATAGGATGTGAGCTGGGAGTACAGACACTGAAATGAGCTCTTTTGTCCAAAAACGATGTGTTCAACTGTGATGCCTTTGAGCATATGTCTTCATGGTTTGAAAGACACAAATAAAAACGTATGCTCATTTGAGATACCGAAAGATGCCATCACAAGTATGAAATAGTTACCAATTTCACTGCTCTTGTTAACCTGTATAAATCTAAGGATAATGTCAGAGGGCACTTTACTAAATGGCACTATAGTTAGCCTTTTAAAGAACAAATGAATCAATAGAGTACTTATTTTCTAGTTGCAATAATTAAGAATAGTTTGTGGGCATTAGTTTATACCCAAGCTAAGGCATAAACTTCTTTTATTAAATTCACTCTTCTACAATAATTATTTTGTCTCAAATTTAGAACTTTCCATTTTGGAAATACTTTGACAAATTGTTAAAATTGACATACCTAAATGCAAGTCATTTTTCAAATATAACTAGGATACAACTAGTTTAGAAGAGTCTAGGGAAAATAACCAACACTAGCAACAGAAAAAGTGGAATAAACAGAGAATAACAGATATCCTTCCAAAGCTCTCTTGAAGGAGAGATTCAGAACACATAGTCCATTCCTACTGTTAATTAAAAATTTATCTGTGGTATTTCCTTTTTCAATAAGAATGATATTTCTGACTATTAGAATCCTTATTACACAGAATGATGTGTTCTGGTTAACTTTTTGTTTGCTTTGAAACCAGACTCTGATCATTCCCATCATCTGGTTCCTCTTACTGTCCCCATGGACCGTTGTGTTGGTGCAGGAAGAAGTCCACAGAGAGAAATGAGCAGCTCACAGATTTACTGAGGGCTGAATTTTCTATCTCAGTTTGTTACAGAGGCAAATGTCACCTTTAAACCCATTCAAAGGGTTAGGCACAGAAATATTACATTGAACAAATTTCTCTTGAATGGCTGTATCTTATATCTCTCAACCTATTTGACTTGATTTGCCAGCATTAGGAGGTTTTTATATAATTAATATTTACTTTTAATTTCAGTCTCAGAATAAGCATTTAGTTTTTGCATATTTCCCTAATTAAGAACAATTTTTTATCAAGACTTTGATTCCTCTGTGGCCTATCCATTCAAAATGCCAATAAAGTCAATTGGATGCTATTGAGCTGAGATTAGTACCAGCAAACAAGACCACATTTAGTAATAACTGATGAGTAAAGTCATATCCAAAATATGAATGACTGTCCTATTGTCTTACTGTAGCATTTTAGTGACACTTCAAACTATTAGAACTGGCATTTTCCTCTGTGTTTTTTATTTTCACAAATTTACTGAAAATGTTTTTCCATCTGAGGAAAAGCCATTTTGTATTTTAAACATCACTCTTTAAATATCATCCTAGGAGACACTTTTGAATTAGAATTAAACTTTGAATAGTCCATCAAGAGAAGAATCAGGGGATTGATTCTGTATTATATCCCATATTTATTAGGACACTGATTGCTGTACTCCTCTTTCAAATTTAATTGAAAGTAGTCTTCAGAGAATATGAGAAGGAATGGCTACATGGACTGTTGACTCCAGAGGGATGCTGTTGTGCAAGCACCTCATCAGAGCTGCTGGATCGGCGGCCAGTGTAGGGTCTGTAACCTCCAGCAGTCTCTGTTCATGAGGTTCAGTCACATCTAAAGCTCCAGTGTGGGTCATATGGTCAGTAAGCCCTGGATAAGGGACATTTTTCCCATTACAGTGATCATGAAAATAAGGGTCTCCAGAGGAGTCTTGGCCTTCTTATGCCATGAAGGGTTTCTGCAGAACAACATTCTGGGGAGCTGAGATGGCAGCAGGAGGAGCAGGATCCTCAGCTGAAGGCTCCCTTTGCTGCCCACTTCTGTCTGATGACATTAAAGCATGCCAAGGATGTGAGGGAACCGATTGTGAATTTCCTGTGTTTAATGTTTTCCATCCTGAGCTGAGCCTGTATTCAGACCTAGCATTTACATAAGCAATTCCAGTGCCTTCGGTGGGAGTTACACCCCTTTGCACCTCTTATTTTGCCACAGAATTAAAGCTACAGCTTCACAAATGAGCAGAAGTTGAGTTGGTTTGGATATTACCTTAAGACTCCCTTGTGCTTTAATTTCCCCCAAGAAAGATGAGGGTAACAGCATTTCCCTATCTCACCGAGCTGTTGTGAGAATAAATATAGTGTTGTGGTGTTAATGGTTGGAATCTTTTAAGTGCACATTAGCACCATAGGTACTGACATAGCACTTTTATTGCTGCCTCACTGTGCATTGTCTCGGTGTACGTGTGCGTGTGTGAGACACAGATTTGTTCCCTATTCTCCTCACTAAGTGTCTGTGTCAGCATTGTAACTTTCCAGCATTCCTATTGAAATTCTCTGTACTGATCACTCTTCCTGTGGCTTGCAGATTGCGTTTTCTCAAGCTAAATGTGCTCCCACAGCATCTAATCCTTTCACAAGTTTTTCAGATCCCCAAAACTGTTTTTTGTCTCTTTGCTTGATTACAGCACCTCACAAATTAATCTTAGCTCTCATTAACATAGAAGTTAAATACAGGAACTTACAGTAAACTTCATGGCTCCCCTCAGTGTGATATGCTGTTGGCTGATATTAACCTTTGTTTACAGCTCTTCAACCACTTTTTATTCCATGTGACAGGACACAGTATTCAGCCAATTAGAATTAATTCTGCAAATAAGACTTCAAGAGATGCTCTATCAAGTAGGTTAGGTTTTGGGCAAGTACTTTCCACGGAATGTCTAAAATCAGTTCAAGGTACAGTCATTTTTGTTTCCTTAAATACAGAAGGATGAACAAAAAATTAGGTAATGGACCATAAGGTATTGCCTGGGCATCATAAATGGCCTGATCATCTTGCAAAAACAAGAATGAGTATTCAGGAACATTAATTCTTGATTTAAATGCAATTTAGCAATTTAAGGTCAAATTTAGTTGCATTGCTCAGGTAGTTTAAAATACCTTTGAAAAATTAATGATTCGGGCTGATTTGCCTCCCATTTTGCCTTGTTTTATACTGTTGTAATTCCACTGACTGCAAATGAGAGGTACTCTTCTATGTGTAAGGGAGAAAAAAGAAAATAATTATTTACAGTCTTTGCATGATCATGAGCTAACAAATGGATTTTCCACTGAGTGCATGTTCTGTATCCTTTCTCTGTGTTTTATTTTGGTAATCCACAGACACCATTATTATATGAAAAGAAGCAGATGTATTGCAGTTGGCAGTTTCCTAAAGAAAATATTTATTTATTACTTTCTAGATTGCATTTGTTTAATCACAGAAATCTTGCAGATTTTGAACAAGTATTTGTGTTACCCTATTTTAGTATTTTAACAAGAGAACAATTGACTTTTCCAGCTTGAACATATTAAAAGCTTAGTCAGGTGTATGCTATA